GGAGCATTCACATCGGGAAGATCCGAGGTCTAGTAAGGCCGCGACTATCTGAATGCAGTCCAAGCAGCAATGCCATCTCCTTACTGCTAGTATTGTAGAAATTATAGGGCTCCCAACTCTGTCTGTTCTACTAGTACACCTATAAAACTGAGCTTGAAAATACTCAAAATAACTACTTAAGAAACATCTTAGAAAACTCTGAGGATCACAGGCATGATTTTTTAGTAAATACAGTACAGAGGCATCTAATAACTCACAGCTCATGATCAAAGAGCATGTAAAAATCAATAGATATTGTGTGACAAGGAAAAACTAGTATCCTCCATTAGTGGACTGTCTGTTAAAAACCTATGCTGCATATCATCTCTAGTTACCCACGAAAGGTTCAATAATCTTATTGTATCATTATGAATTTATAAGCTTAATGCCATATGCACTTAAAATGGTAATAAATAATCCCTCCAGTGAAACAATTAAAGCCAGGGAGAAAGAGTTGATATAAGGTGCTGATACAAATAACATGAAAAGAGTGACATTTGTAAAATTACAATGAAAAATTAGCAAAGAAGACTATTCATTCCCTTTTATTGGTGCAGAAAAAAAACAAAAAAAAACAAGGTTTTGCTAGAGATGAGCTTCATATGCTAGGAACTCTCTACTGCCACAAGTGGCAACTGGTACAATGTATATCAAAACTCATATCTTTTCCTGTGCAAATGGATCAGAATATCCGTTTCTATTGAACTGAAGTATCCTCTATGCTGTATTGCTTTTCCTTCATATCTATGATAACCCTTGTAACTATAAGGATTCGGCTGAGGAGTCTGTTACATATTACAGACAATAAAAGCTGTGTTCACATCAATCTTATCTGAAATGGTGTTGGTTTTCAATGTGGCTAGTAGACAAACAAGGTTACTCACCAGTTATTCAGAAGACTAGCATTTCTGCTAAATCAGAACATTTTTTCTTTAGATTTGTTTTTTGTTTCTAACGTTTTTTTAGGCAGGGGGAGACCAACAAACATGTGCTAAGTGACTAATCAATTTGACTAACAACATCATTTACTACTTTTTTATCAAAACTTGTGTAAACTGGGCATCAGTGAGGCTAGGACATTCTCCAGGATTTGCTATCATACTTCAATGGAACATTCTGGCAATTTGTTTGGATCTCCAGAGGAATTTATTTCCACATAATACACATTACACCTGATCCTAGCTACAGTACATGTATTTGGTAGACTTGCATACTCGTAGACCTGGGATTGGATCTTAGTTTCATGTGCCCTAGATCTAGGGTAATAATTTTCTTTGGGATGAAACAAGATATTCCCAAATAGCCTAGCCCCAACCTCTTTCCTAGAAAAAAACAATGTGCTAGAGTACTTAAGAGAAATCCACTAGATATAACAATAATAATAATACAACATCTTTAAGAATCTGGGTTATTATCAACCAACTATGAAAAATAAAGGAACCACCCATGTGATCATACTCTCTAGAGAATTGATTAGAACACTGGAGAGACTTTCAACTGCAGTGGCCATTCACTCAAAACAAATCTTCAAGAAAGTCTCTGCACAACTGCTTCTTGGAAAAAAAGAAGACTTACTGTGTATACTGCAACTAATGACTGTAAAGTGCATGTGCTACAGACTTACATGTACTAGCAGTACATGTAGACACCTAAATAGAGCATATCACAAAGATGGAAAAAGCTATGAGGCAAAACGAAAAACATTTACAAATTGCCTCTGATACGGTAAGCAATTAGTTAAACAGATGTACTTTTTCGAAATTATAAGGATGTGTTTTAAAGCTGCCAAGTTTTGAGAGCTCTCCTATATAAATAATAACAATTCGTCAAAATATCATTATATTTAAGAAATTATTTTCACTGGTTTTAAAATATCCAAAAGTGAGAAGGGAAAGGCCGACTTACAAAGAGTAATAAAAAAGTCGTCCTGTCTTGAAAGACATTTTCCCCAAAACTGTCAATTATTAGCTAACAATTTATGTTTTAACATTAAATAAATAAATGAATAAACTGAAAAACAAACAAACAAACAAACAAATGAAAAACCACTTAAATTTGTTTTTTTTTCTTTTTAATTTTTTAAATAGAGAAAAGCTGACTTACTAATAGTGATAGTAGAGCTGTCCTATCTTGGATGCTATCTCTCCTATCTGCCATCTCTTCAACCCATACTTTGTGTCTAAAGTTTGTCTAAAGATAAGACATACCAACTGACAAAAATTTCATTAAAGAGAATGAAAATCTATGATTTGGTCAATTTCCTGCTTCATATCTGATAGTCAAATTTTTGAGAATGGTTTCAAATTTATAATTTTTGAGCAAAAAAAAAAAAAATCTTTTTTACAATGTGCTTATGGCTAAATAATTTGACCAAATGATAAAATTAAGCAAAATCATATTTGCATGAACCAAGTTACAAATTTGTATAAAGCTGAATTCACAACAGCAGACTAAGAGATTCCTGGGTCAAATATGGCAACCCACTTAAAAGTTTGCTGCATAATCCCCTCATAAACACTGAATAGATTCCCCCAGGGAGTACACAACAAGTAGTCAAGTGGGTTGGCCATATTTGATCTACTGATCTGTTAGTCCGCTGTTGTGAATGTGGCCTAAAAATAAATGAGCAATGGGCTTCGCACAACGTATAATTTAAGTACTAGTATCTTCAACAGTTTAAAACATCAAATAAAAATTGAAGTGTAGATTGAAATAAAAATGAAAACTCTTGGATATTCTAAAATTGGCAAAAAAATCTACCTGGGTAAGAAGAGCTAAATTACAATGCAGACAACAAATCAATCAACCAAAATCATGACAAGGTGAATGAAGCATTTCAACCTATCAGTATGTACCTGTTTTGTTGTTGAAACTTCCACAGTTTTGTGTAAACATCAAATGTTCTTCCAAAATAAGACTGCCATTGTTTATGTCCATACTGGGGCAGATCTCTGCAACAGAAAGCACATTTAAAAGATAATGTACATCGGCATAAGATAATTAACATATTGTTAAAAAATACCTGATAATTTGTTACTTATTTCATTTGGCTAAGATTAAATAGATTTAAATATCTCTTTAACTGGGCAGCTGGGGATGTGTGTGTGTGTGTGTGTGTGTGTGTGTGCATGTGCGCGCAAACAATAATGTGGGAGATTGTGTTTGAGTGTCTTATCATATGACTTAAAATAGCACTCTTATTTCAATCATCATATATTTCCCATTAGAGCAACTCTCCAATACGCCTAAAAGCATCCACAGCAGCTTCAGTGACAATGATATATAAGACTGTGTGTACATTTAATATAACAGAAGTAAATGTATATGTTTTGCCAACAATATTCTAACCATGTTTACTTATCGTACGGTAATTATTCGATCTTTTCAATGGGAGAAAATTGTGAATTTTACAAATACTGTATTTTTAGTCATAATTTCTTACACTTAGAACATTTCTGCTGGGTGGTTACAACAAATTAAAAGCAAGCTACCCTGTAGTTCTATTCTTTGTATTAAAATCATCATAAATGCTATACTGAAATACAGTTTTTGTGATTATAAAACGATATATTTGAAAGTTTGATTTTTGCCAATCGAAAAGATCAAGTCATTACAGTAATTCCTGGATGCTACAAATAAAAGAGACAAATGTCAATATCTGTGAATAAAGCACTTGGTAATGTAACAGTTAGAGCTCTATAGTTTATTATATAAACACATCATTTATACATGTACTTTTCTGCTATAATAATAATCTTACACATTAGTAGGCATTTTTTATCAAAAATAATCTTCTTAATAAAATATGCAGAATGGTTCCATTAATCATTGGAGAATACCTGTGGCACAATAATAAATATCTGTCTGTCTATAGGAAAGTCTGTCTGTCTATTTACATATCTTAGGATTCAATCCCAATGAAACTATTGTTCTACGTAGATTGATCCAACTCCGAGAGGACTCAATCAGACTTACTCAGATAAACAGATTAACACACCTTTTCCTGGTGTTAAGTAGATTACAGAAAAGCGGGTGATTTTATGAGTACGCTGGAAACAAGAGGAGACATGTCCTTCAGTGAGAGTCAGTACATTCAGTGAGGGTCCCTGCAGAGTTGGATTGATCTACGTAGAACGATAGTATTTACTGGGAATGAATCTCAAGTCCACATTTCATAATGCTGTCTTGAAGATTCCTAAACTTAATCTAGCATATGGGTTTCCCCAAACACTTCAGTACAAAGACTTATCTACAGAAGATGCCACAGAATTTCATTAATTGTCAAAGAGACTATATACTTCCTGTGCCACATATCTATTTGATTCTTCATAACAAAGACTAATAACCCACTATACAGTAAGTTAATTTGCTCTGCAGTAAACAATATTTTCTTTGGTTAATATTTCAACATCTTATGCTGATTTAGTTAATAAATTTGCTCAGTTGCAGAAAAATAAACACAGCATGTATAATTCCTCTCGTTTTCCTCTGGACAGTGTCCTCTGTTTGCCGACATGCACCAACACATTATACCAATATCAGCAAATGTCAAAATATTAAACCTACCTGTAATTTATCCACTTCAAGAGCCCTATAATAACGCCAAGTACTACTTGCTGTAAAGTTTCCATGCTTGCAAGTATTATTTCATGGATAGGGAATGACACTAGTGGTAATAAGAGGATCACCTCTTTATGTCGTTATTTTTTCAAATAATGATTTGAAAAATGTCACCTTTTAAATGTACAGGTAGGTCAAAGTATTAACACTCAAGTTTTAAAAGTAAGAAGTAAAAATGCCATTTCCTTAAATTTTACAATGTGGTTAAGTAATGGTGCGGT